ATCTGATGGTCCTCTGCAATAAATGTTCTCCGATCAGTTAAGTGCAGAGACAGTGACGATTAGCTATCTCAGGTCATTTGGCCAAAGTCACATAACTATTAAGTGTCAAACAAGACTTGGACTTGGGGCTGTGTGTCAGGAGGAAGGGCTCTGAGAAGGGAGAATCAGTTGAATGGAATTTGTGGGAACTTATATTTCCCACTGCATAAAGTGAATGTTGAGCAGGTAGAACCCTGTTAGCCATGTAGGAAATAATCCACACAGTCAAGCTCAATGAACTGTCTTGGTTCCTGACCCCTCTGTCTTTCCCCATTGGTGCCTCCTTGCAATTTCATCCTAAAGTCCCCAGCCTGGATCATGTGACTAACTCTCTACTCAATATTTCAAATATATTTATTTTCCCTTTGGGTTCTTCACTCATGGCCCCTGACTACCTATAAGTGGGGGAAACATTGATTCTTGGAGTTTGCCTCTTTACATCTGGGTCAGGGCTGCTGGGTACACATAGAAACCACATAACTACACAGGTCAGTGACACCATGTGTCCCAGCCCCCTGTGGACCCTTGGTAGTAGTGCCTGCTACAACACTGAGGTTTCCTGAACTTTACTGTTATGGTTTGAAGGGCCCCCCAAAATCATGTTATAATTAATGTCCCAATGGGATTTGGAGGTGGGGCCTTGGGATATAATTAGGATAGGGTGAGCTCATGAAGGTGGAACTCCCACGATGGCATAAGTGATTTTCCATTTTTTGGTACTGAGGAATTGAACCTAGGGTCTTGAGCTTGTGGGAATGAGTTCTACCACTTGAGAGCCACCCCCTTGGTCCACCCTAGTAGTTTTATAAGAAGAGGGAGAGAGAGACCTGAACAAGCAAGTCTTCTCTGTCTCACCATGCAATGCTCTGAACTGCTTTGGGACTCTGCAGACAGTCCCCACCAAGAAGGTCTCACCAGTTGCAGCCACCAATCTCGAGCCTCCCAGCCTTTGAACCGAGCTGAGGAATGATTGATCTATTATTCAGTCTGTGATTTTCAGTAGGAACAGAAAAAGAACTAAGAATGTCCTCCTCTTCTTCTCTCCATACTTCCAGGTTGGGATTTCCCCATGATGAAGTCAGCAGATAATGTCTCTTTTGATGGCAGTTTCTTGATGGAAGCCACCTCACCTGTTCAATAACAAGAAGAAATCCTAAAATCCATCTTTTTGACCCAAATTTCCCTTCTGAACCTCAGATCCATGGAGCCTGTTGGTGACTGGGCTTTTCTTCTGAGATGGCCTATGGGCATCTAGAACTCCACATTCCAGATCAGAGCTGATCTTTCTGGACAAAATGTTCATTCTGTAATCCTTAGTTCACAAAATTCACTATGTGAGTCCCAGCTCTCCAAGTACAACTCAGCAAGCTAGGTGTCATCACGGGTCCTGTCCTTCACACAAGAGGTCCATTAACTATCTCTCTCATCTGCCCCTTTCACCCATGTCTTTTCCTGGCTCCTGTTGGTGCTGAAACACCTGATCATTCTGCTTCTCCTCTTCCCCCCAAACCCATGCCCCACCCTACTCCCCTTCTCCCCTCCCCAGCCAGCCTGACCTTCTGAAGTGTAATCAGATCAACACGCCCTTTGTTTATAATATTTTGATGTCAGCCACCACTCTGAATAAACTCCAAGATCCTTAACAAGGCATTGTCTTGCCTGTGTTGTTCTCTTCAGCTCCACCGATCACAATGGTTCCCTCAAGCGTGGTGACTGAGACCACAGGATCTTGTTTCTTTACTTTAGCATGCAGGATTTAGCATTCAGGGACAGTCCTTGTGGAGGCTAAATAGGACTCCCATTATTTGGGAGTTGATCCTGGGTTCACTTGGGCTCCTGCATGCAGCCTGTCAGAGCAGTTGTGACATCCATGTTCTGTTATTTGTCCTGCACACTGGGTTGAAGACTCCAGGAGGGCACATCCCAGGTCCACCTTCTTCATCTCAGAGTCCCCCAGGCTAGTCACACTCTGAGGGCTGGGGGTTCATACAGGCTGAAGGAGAGAGAGAACGCATAGGTGTCCTTTGTTGATGTCAATGTCTTTCAGTGAGGGAAGTGACAATGAGAACAAGGGCCAGGCTGTCCCTGCAGGAGACATCAGGGCAGCAGGCAGAAGCATGGAAGTGGAAGGACTCTCAACCCCCATGGGAGGGGAGGGAGAAGAGTGAGACTCATAGACCTGGGGACCAGGTTCCCCCCTGTAGAGAGGAGCTCAAGCCTTTAGCACCAAGCTCCAGACCCAATTCACAGACGGGATGAGCCCCTGTGGCACCAGGCTCTTTAGACACCTGGATCTGGGCCAGGAGGAACTGAGGGCCAGAGCTGGGGCAGGTCAAAGTCTTATTGTATGGGAAGCCAGGCATCCCTAGTTGAGGGGCAACCAGCCATGGAGACCTGCATTCAGGCAGGTGAGAAGTTACTCACATGGAAAAGATTGTCTCAGGACTCTTTTGATTGCTGTCAGGGGGCCTTTCAGACTCAGGAGCAAATAGTCTCCTTTCAGATTCAGGAGCAAACAGTTTGGTGACATCCTTCCTTGTTACATACACATCCATGTTGCACACAAGCACATGCTCCATCATTTCCACTGTATAGAGGAGAACACAGAGGACTTATGACGGAAAGCAGCTCCTGGAAGAGTGACCTTTCTGGTTCACATTAACACTCTTGACAGGCTGTTCTCAGGCTGGTGACCCCACATGCCTCACCAATGCCTTCCCCAGGGACAGTTCCATTTGCCTTCATGGAACTCCTCCTAGCATGGAGTCTGAGGTCCATGACCTCAATCCCTCTCTGCATCTTCAGCCCTTTTGACATCTGTCTTTATGCCCAGCAGTTTCCCTAAAAACCATTGAGGCTTATGAGAATAGAAAAAGAAAACCCATGGTTCCAAAGGCTGGAACCACCAAGAATCCCTAGAGTTGGACTTCCAAGAGCCACCCTGAGTTTGGCAGGCATGTGGGGACACCCTCATCCACTCCCCAAATCTTGATAAATGCCACCCAGCAGTTGACTTTAGCTCTTGCACTGGAAACCTTAGTCATTGGACACTCCCTCGTTGGACCTGCATTCCTGCTGCTTTTGGCTCTCACGCCACCCCCACCAACCCGCCACCAGGTCTGGACCCCATCCCATTCCATCTGCCCAGAGATGGTGCTCTCTGCAGCGATGCTCTACACTACCCTGCTGGCTGGTGGCTCACTGTGCTATTCCTGGTTGGGGTGTGTGTGTCATATCTCCCACATTAATTGTACTACATTGCAGTCATGGCACCCTGCAGCCCTGATGGATTGTCACCTGATCTCCTGACTATTTCATGCAGTCACAAAAATGTACTCAAGGTTGTAGCATCTTTAAAGCCCTTGAACTAACTCCAGCACAGCACTCACTGTCCACCCATCCAGCCCCATCTCTGCATGTCCTCTTGCACATCCTGGCCTCTGCTCACCCTCTAGTTCTTGAAGGTCTTAAGTCTGTGTGCGAATCAACTAAGGTCAGGTCTTTTCTGTCAAAGGGGTTAATGTATAGGATATTATCATTATACAGATGTCAGCTTAACTTCCCCAAATTGTTGCCTATGTGCCTTGTGAGACGTCACTTAATCTCTGCAAAGGCCTGTTTTAAACAAAGGGCTGTTCTTAGCTGAGCAAGTTCCTGTTATCACCAGATGTCCTAGTTTCAAAAACTGCTTGCTTAAGGCAACTATTGTTCAAGAAAATCTTTGCTCTCCCTGCCCTGAGGTCCCCTGCCCCACCTGCTCCTTTCAAATTAGTCAATCATGAGGATTGTGAACCTGAAACCCATTCAACCTTCTCCTCCATTGATCTCATGGAAGGGAATCCCAGTGTTTACTTGCCCATTCCTGGAGGAGGGGGTCTTGTGTGCTTCCCCGAGCCCAGATTTCTCTACTCGACCTCAGGCCTAGCTGCTTCCTGATCAGGTTCCTGGGTTGTCTTCCAGGAGCCATCAACTTGAGGATGTCAGGGTCTGGATGTGCACCTCCTTATTCCAACTCGCACCCCCCCACCCCAGAAGCATTTCCTGCCTCAGAGTTCTTTGTCAGCACCCCTGGGTGCTGACATCCAATCACAAAATCCCTCAGTTCCTGCACAGTCTTGGAACCAAATGGTCCCTCTCTCCCTCCCCAGCTGGGACCTGACTTCCTCTGCAGCAGCCCGCTCCATCCCCACGCCCCTGTCATGGGCCCCCCTCCCCCGAATCATCTCCCTGCAGCAGCCAGAGCAGCTTTTCCAGGGCACCAATTCCTTCAAAGCCCCTTGTGGCTCTAGGAAACTGATCCAGAATCCTTACAAGGGGCCAGCCCCTCTCCCCACATCTAGTACTCTGCTACAGCCTCTTCCCCTCCATAAACTCTATGTTCTGTGTCCCAAGTTACCCTCCTTCTTTCAGATTGCTAAAAATGTCCTATTGTGCTTTCTCCTGCCTGAAATGAAACATCCTTTCTGATCCCATGACCACCTTCTAGTCCTCCTTCCATCTCAGTACAGAAGCTGCCTCCTCCAGGAAGCCTTCTCTGACTCCCAGACTGAGTTTGGGGCTATTCTGGAAGCAATCCAGAGCCTTTTTTTTGGCATCTGTTTGCCAATGAGAGTATAAGTCCAACAGAAAAATCCTTAGGAGCAGAATACTGTTGTGGCTAAGATTGCTCCTCTGACATCAGCTGGGTTGGGATAGATAACACCCTACTGGTAGTAATGACTAGTTATGTGGCTTAGGAAAATTACTAAGTGTCTCTGTGCTTCAGTTTCCTCATTTGTAAATGAGACTAATATTAGCGCCTAGGTTATAGGGTCATCACAGGGACTCAAGGGATCATCTCAGGATGAGGTCCCCACAGAATATCTGCAGAAGAGCCCTACGTTTGGTTCTGGTGTCACACTGGAGGCCACGCACCTGCCAGCATGAGCTGAGTGAATGCCACAGAGCCACTTTTATGCAGTTGTCTATTTATTGCTCACAGGTTGCCACCCTGAATGCTGGTGATGAGTAAGGCATCTGTCAGGCAAGGTCAGCCTGGGAACCCAGAAATAGCTACTATCCCCCGACTAGGGGTACTGAGGGGCAGAAGCAGGGTCCCAGCAGAGCACCGCCTCAGCTTCAGGAGGGGTTTTGGGGTTGTGCCAGGTGCAGACAGGACCAGGAGCCTGTGTAACAGGTGGCAGAGCCTGGAGGCTGAGGAGGGAAAGAGTGAAGCTGGAACTGGGGCCCAGGTGGCCCCAGAGGCAGGAATGGGCTTCAGGGCAGCAGAGGCACCTCTTGGTCTTGGGCTGAGGTCCAGGTGGACTTGATTTTGAGCTCATGTGGTGAAACCAAAGGCAGAAGAGGCCAAAACCTAAGGTGGGACTGAGCTGCCACCCCAGGTCAGGAAGAGTGGCTTTGGGGCACAGGCAGAGAGGGAGAACCAGACAATTAGGAGGGAGGGGCACAAAGAGAGTTTCTAGGCCCAGGAAGATGGGTTACAGCTGTCAGAAGGCCTTAGGGCCTTCAGACTGAACCATGTGGAAGCCACACAGTCACTGTCATCCCAAGGATGACACAGGGTCAGGCTGCTCGTAGAGAACCACATGTTGGACTCCAGCCCAGTGGATGCTCCACTGCTTGGCAAGGAGCTCTAGACTTGCTTGGGGTTGGTGACTTTGCCCAGAAAGAGGATGTTCTGGGTGTCACTGATGATTAACAGAAAAGGCCTGTTGATATTCACAGTTACTGGGTTCAGTTTTGCAGATGTGAGAATGACTTTGACTCCTGTGGCAGCAGCTGCCTCTGTGCCCACTTCAGTCACATCAATCACAGCCTTGTGGACCACCTGTGGGGATATCAGAGCATTACTTACCAGAGACAGGGTGGGTAGGAGAGAGGTAGCCTGCCCACATGCACTAGGGGACTAACATGGCCCACTGGCCTTGTCTCTGTGCTGGTAAATTTTTGTTCCTCCCATTAACCTGTCAGTTGGTTTTGCACAGTCCCTATGCACAGATGCCACACTGAGACTTGGAAGCACGAGTGATTTGCTCACAGTCACAGAGGTAAAGATGGGACACCCTGACCTGGGTCCTCTCTGTCTTCCTTGACCCTAGAAACCACTGGTGTCAGGAGGAGGGGCAGGGTAGCTCAAGGTGTTTGTCCTGCAAGCTGCTTCCTGTCAGCTGGCCACCTTGAAGCTGCCACTCCTCTGTGGACCAGCAGCAGTTTCAGCATCCCTCCCACTCCAGTCTCCTGGGGGCTCCAAGACAGGAATTGTCCTGGACCACAGGGGTCTCTGCCTCCACACTCCCCTACTTTCCTCTGCTATAGCTCTTAGAAGCAGGGTACAACCAACAACAGGTGTTGGCGAGGATGCAGGGAAAAAGGAACCCTCTTACACTGTTGGTGGGAATGTAGACTAGTACAACCACTCTGGAAAAAAATTTGGAGGCTACTTAAAAAGCTAGACATTGATCTACCATTTGATCCAGCAATACCACTCTTGGGATATACCCAAAAGACTGTGATGGCAGGTTACTCCAGAGGCACCTTGCACACCCATGCTTATTGCGGCACTATTCACAATAGCCAAGTTATGGAAACAGCCAAGATGCCCCACCACTGACGAATGGATTAAGAAAATGTGGTATCTATACACAATGGAATTTTATGCAGCCATGAAGAAGAACGAAATGTTATCATTCGCTGGTAAATGGATGGAATTGGAGAACATCATTCTGAGTGAGGTTAGCCTGGCCCAAAAGACCAAAAATCGTATTGTTCTCCCTCATATGTGGACATTAGATCAAGGGCAAAACAAACAAGGGGATTGGACTATGAGCACATGATAAAGCGAGAAACACACAAGGGAGGGGTGAGGATAGGTAAGACACCAAAAACTAGCTAGCATTTGTTGCCCTTAACGCAGAGAAACTAAAGCAGATACCTTAAAAGCAACTGAGGCCAATAGGAAAAGGGGAACAGGTACTAGAGAAAAGGTTAGATCAAAAAGAATTAACCTAGAAGGTAACACCCACGCACAGGAAATCAATGTGAGTCAACTCCCTGTATAGCTATCCTTATCTCAACCAGCAAAAACCCTTGTTCCTTCCTATTATTGCTTATACTCTCTCTACAACAAATTAAAATAAGGGCAAAATAGTTTCTGCTGGGTATTGGTGGGGGAAAGGGAGGGCGGAGTGGGTGGTAAGGAGGGGTGGGGCGGGGGGAAAATGAACCAAGCCTTGTATGCACATATGAATAATAAAAGAAAAAGGAAAAAAAAAAAAAGAAGCATGGTACAGTTCAGAAGCCAGGGCTCCTTGTGAGCACAGCACAGAGGATGTTGGAAGTGCTGCTAGGCTGCCCTCTGTTCTGACTGTTGTGCTTCTAGAAACACAGTCTCAGGGTTCCAAGCCACCCTCTCTCATACTATGAGCATATTTTCCTCACAATTACTTGATAGCCACTGTACTACATCCATCAGGCACTGTGTTAGCCAGGAGCTCTTGCCCCTGTTTTACAGATGAACAGACTGAGAGTGGAAAGCTGCTGCTCCCAGCTGTCTGAGCCCAAGCCCAGGCTCTTCCCTACCATGCACACCTAGGTAGCCTCATGTTGTAGTGCCTGCAAATCACATAGAGGTAGGAGGAGTTGGACTATGCCCCAGGTGCCCCATCCCTGGACTTGGGGGAGTCCAGGGAGGGTGATTGTAAATGGAGAAATGGAAGGCTTGCCCAAGATCACAGCTCCCTAACATCCACCTGGCCTTCGCAATTCAAGTCCAGGCATGGAGCACGAACTGCCTGAGGTTACCAGCTTACCTGGGAGACCATTAGCTTTCCATCCTGCATGAGCCCTGACAGGTCAGCCTGCCTGGTGAAGACTTCCTTGATGCCCAGCTGGGGAAGGATGTACTCCAGGTCATAGTCACTGGAGATAGAAAACTTGGGCAGGTAGAGCTCATCTATCCGCCTAGAGAATGAGAAATGAAAACTCCTGAGCATCGTCAGCTAGTACCTCACCTTCCCCCACCTCACAGCATGGCTGCTGCTTTCTCCCACCAACTGCCCCTTCTCGCTGGACAGCAGTCCTTCCCCTCCATTTCTTGCGTTTGCTCTTCTTAACTCATTATCCAGCAATAGCTGCCCGTGTCCACGTGAGCCAGGGTGGCTCTGGAGCCCTGCCCAAGTCTGGTCCTACTCTTCCCACAGCTCAGCAGAGACACCTTCACTCTAATAGGGACGCTACAGCATGTCGAGAGGCTGGGTAGGGACAGCCACACAGCAGCCTGCCCTGTGGACACCAGGAGGACTTCCCGTAGGAAATGCCATCAAAGGCAAGTTTTGAAGGAGGGGAAGGAGCTAGCTGAGTGACGAGGAAGCAGGAGGCAGGAGGAAGAACTTAGAGGAAGTGGGGAAACCTCCTCAGAGTGGAGGCAGCCTTAGCATTGGGAGGAAGGGAGTGAGGGACAAGGGTGGACAGGGGCTAGAGGCAGCACATGAAAGACCATGGGGATTTCTGAGGAGCACAATTGTGCTGGAAGGGCGGGGGCTCCTGAGATGACCCATCAGTCATAGGCTTCCAGGAGCTCCCGGGGACTCCTGGAAGGCAGGGATTGCATCTGCTTGAGCACTATTCCCTGAGGTTGAGTGGACTGCACAGCCATTTCTTGGCATGAGATGACACCTCCCACTGAGAGTCCCTCTTGCTTTGTTCCTGTCCCCTTTAGTGCTCTGGTCTTCATCTGCCTGGCCTTATAGTTGCCGAATACAAGAGGCTGTGTCTTCCATTAAACTTTGGCTGTTCCTCTTCATTCACTCATTCATTCATTCATTCATTGGCTCAATGAGCATTTATTGAGCACCCACTGTGGGCCAGATACACACATACTCAATCCCTCGGGGTTGTGCAAATGGAAGGAGTTTGGTGAATGTACTTTGTAGCTCTTCATTGAGCCCCTACTCTATGGAGCCACTTGGAGATAAAGGAAGTAGAGAGTTGGACAAGTGGGATAGGGCTCCAGTCCTGGAGTCTCCTGGGATCTGGTGAGGAAGGGCTGAGAAGCAGGGAGCCCCAGGAGGTGCCCAGCCATTTGGACAGTGGTTGGGACCAGGGCTGTGGCCTTAAGTTAATGCTGAAGCAGGTCCTTGACCTTTGTGGTTTACAAAGTTACATCCATATCCATTAACCCACCAAATTCTCATAATCACTACACAAGGACAAGGACAGCGGGGCAGGAACCACCCCCCTCTTCCAGAGAAGATGACCAGTTCTCTGTGGCCCACTGCAGGCCCCAGGCCAGAATTACTGCTTTACCTTGATTTCCCCCAATGTCAGCTCAGTTCTGTGGCCTTGGCTGAGTCTTTACCCTTAGATTATCCAGAACTCAATCCCTCCTCCCACTTCACAGCTCCCTCACAGGTCTCCACCCGTGTAGACTCTGCCTGGGTTTCTGTCTGGCCCTGGCTGGTCTCCTGTCCCACACTTGCCCCTACAGTCTGGTCTCCAATCAGCAGCCAGGCAATCCCTGTAAAGCAGCACTCAGGTCTGTCACTCCTTGAAACCTCCTGATGTGTCCCCCTTTCATTTGGAGGAGGGAAGTTAAGGTTTTCTAGGGATCCCCATGACCTCTTCTACTCCCCTGTCTCCCTGGGCTCCAGCCACTCTGCTGTTGCTCTTCCCTTAAACATGTCAGGCTTGCTCTCCACAGAAGCTTAGCACTGGCTGTCCCTGTGCTGGGAGCACTTCCCCCAGTACCCACATGACACAGTCTTCACTTCCGTCCTGGTGGCCCTCAATCACTTACTTAATGGTCATTCTACTTAAAATCACTAACTCCCTCCAGCTCCAGCTTCCCTGACCCTTGAACCTTCCTCTACTGCTTTCCTGTTAGCACCTTCAAACTTATCAAATACTTTACTGACTTGAATTTTTATTCCCCCCTCCCATGCTAATTACAAGATAAGCTATACAAGGGCAAGAAATTGTGTTTTAGTTTCTAATACACTCTTAGAGTCTAAATCAGTGACTGACGCATAGATGATGCTCAACTAACCACTCAACAAATGAATGAATCAATGAACAAACGAATGAATGGATGAATGAATGAGTGTAATGGTGAGCCAGTGCAGAGCTTGTCTTACCTCACTCTCCCCCAATCATGAGACTTTGGCTCCCTCCACCATCAAGAGGTTGAGACAAGGAGAAAGCACTCATGCATGCTGGGATTGTGTTAAGATTCCTCATGACTTAGAACATGTTAGAGTCAGCTTCTGCTCTATCTGATATCATCAATTCAGGAAATAAAAAAAAGTCAGGCCCAAAGTCTCCCAGGTAGCAGAGGGCAAATTAACCCCAGACTCTTCCTGTCCCTGTGCAGGACCTCCAACCCTGACACTGGTGAGGCCCCAAGGTGGGGAGGTGCAGGGTTTCAGGGGTCTGGAAGGAAGAGGAGCAGACTGGCAGCTCCAGGTCCTGGGAACACATACCTTGATTGCAATGAGTCCTTCCACTTGCTCAGGGTCTCCGGGAGCAAGTGGTTTCCACCTCCTGCATTTTGCCCTGGTCAGGGAGGATGAAGAGTGCACTGGCATTGCCTGTATACTTCAGTTCCACCACAGTGCAGGACAGCTCTTCATCCCGGAAGAAGGGTGTGGTCAGGTCCTCAATGCTCATCATGGGCACCTTCACCGACTGGCTTTGCTCAAATGAAACTTGGACTTGAAGGTATCACGGGGGTCAAAGGGCATCTTCCACTTGGCTAAAGGTGAGCAAACAGTCAGAGACCATGAGAGCACCAGGGGGACCCTGCCTCCACCCCACCTCTGCCCAGCTTCAGAGCAGGGATAACACTTGGTTCATTCATGGTTACCCAGAGTCTTAGGGGTGGCCGTGGTTAGGTCTGGTTATAAGTAGAAAAGCCGTTGGGGATAGGGAGAGCCCCACAGGCCTGGACTGGAAAAGGGGCCTGTTTACTTGTGTTAAATGAGAAATCAACAGAGTACAAGTCGGATGGGTGTTAGGGAAAGTGGGGGGGAAGAGGAGTGACACAGGTGGGAAGCTGGAGCCTGAGGAGAAGTGGGGAACTCCTGGTTCCCTAAGAGGAACATCCTATTGCAAACACTTGCAAGTCACGGTATTGCAAGATGTGAATACCCCTTTGCACCCCAAATCTTCTGCTCCCCTGCCAGTGGCTTGTGAGGTTTGGGTGGGAATAGGGGAAAGAAGCTGAGCACCACCTGTGAGTTGGTGGGGGATGGGTAGAGAAGAGTGCCCAGCAGTGTGGATGACCTGGGAGTGGTCAGGAGGTCCTTAATGGGAAGACAGAGCTCAGAGCCAGGAGTGACTCAGCACTAACACTCATGGGACTTGTGATGTCATAGAGGGTGGGGGAGCAGATGTCCCAAAGGCCATGGACTAAGACATCCTTAGTTGGTTCTAGGTCCTCAGCTCACATGGGTCATGTCCACCTCTGAGAACTACAGACACTCAGCTCAGTCTCACTCTAGATTCTGAGTCTGGGGTCCCCACCCCCATTCCCAATTCAAGGGACTTGGAATTGTGACAATTTCTTGGACTCAGGATCCAGCAGTCTCTGCACCTGTCTCCACCTTGCCAGTCTCCTGGCTTCCATCCTGGGGCCAGTAGAGAGAGCCTGGCGGTTCAGTCTATCTTCCAGTCTTCCTCACCAGCCCATGACAGTGGGCCCAGCCCAGTGCTGTCCTCTTTCCTACCTCTAAACCCCTTCTGCCTTTTTCTCTTGGTGACTATCTTGGTTTCTTGCCTATAATGCAAGAACTCCTCCTTCTGCCCTGAGCTACCCCAGGTCCAGCCCCAGATTCAACCCGGGCCTAGCCATATCATGAGTGGGACTGGGTGCCCAGTCCCAATTTCTGGGCTCTGAACATTGCTCCCTGGTCTGTGGGCTATCAGATGGGATGTTGTGCATGTGGGGTCTGGATGGGCCTCTGTCATAGCATTCCTGCCCACAGCATCATCCAGGTTGGCCTCCCAGCTTTCTCCCTCTCCCCCTCATCAGGCATCCTGGTCCAGGACTTAGTCCAGGTCTACCCTTCAGAACTTGCTAGCTGAGGCAGGCACTGTTGAATCCTGTCAGTGGGATGGGGCCCTGGATCCGTTGGAATCTGGGAAAGGCTCCTGCCTTAGAGAGTGCACTCCCTGAGGCTCTTCCCCAGTTGGGGATGTGCTATTTCTGTCCTCAAGATCAGAGGAAGGCAGAATTCTGGAAGCTCAGAGTGGCCAAGCCCCTTCCGAACCTCCTTGTCCTTCCCTGTGAAGATGTCCTTATCCTCATCTGGGCCCGGCCAAAGACAGAGGATCCAAGCAGAGACAGAGCTCATACTGCATGTGCAGGTCATAAATGCCCAGGACTGCACAGACACAGGGGCTTTCTGCCTTGTGTGGCAGCATCTCTGCAGAGGCGGGATGTAGTTCCTGCCCATGCTGGAAGGATTTGAAAGGAAGGCTCTTGCCTTCTATTCTGCTGGGCAAGTTTAGATCAGAGTAAAACCCACCACCCTTAGAGAGATAATGGCACGACCAGAAGTCATGTCCAGCACAAACTACAATCCAGAAAACTCCATGGAGAAGACCAGACCTATGGGCAGGACAGGGTCTGGTACCCATGCTCCCCCACCCCCACCTCAAACCATTGTCACTTCCTCTCTAGTGGTTTGCTTAATAACACAGTTCCCCAGGCCATCACCATTGCACAAACAACCCAGAAGGCACAGAGCTTTGAGTCTCTTTCTTCCTGACCCCAAGCCAGGCTTTTACCTCCCCCAACCTCAGTACTAGGGTTTGAACTCAGGGCCTCATGCTTGCTAAGCAGATGCTCTACCACTTGAGCCACTCCACCAGTCTCTAAGGGCCTCACCTTTAAAGAAGATGTAATTCACCAGGACCATCACAGTCTGTGTGTCCAGGCCCTTGACTAGATCCACAATTTTCCCCTGAGTCTCCTTCTTGACGTAGTCATTGATGAACTTCTCAGCAGCAGCAGGCTCCTGGAAGTTGGTGAGGAAGGCCTGGGCTGCATACAGTGCTTGGGCATCCTTCCTGAATTTGGCTTGCAATTCTTGCTGCTCTTGGACAAACATGGCATTACCCATGTTGAGCTGCAGATGGTCCCCTGGCTGGTTGAGTGTGCGCAGGAGTTGCTGGAAGCCCTGGTGGATTTCGGCCTCAGAGATCTCTGTGAGATTGAACTTGAGGCCTTCCAGAATCTCCTTCAGGGTGGTATTGTGGGCCCCCAGGGAAAGGAAGGCCAAAGCAGTGGAGATGCTTAGGGGGGAGAAGATGACATTTTTGTTCGGGTTCTCTGAAGCCAGCTGCTTGTAGAGGCTGAAGGCAAAGTCAGTGTTGCTGGAGACTAAGCTGATGTTGTTCATTTGGGTCCCATTATACTGGTCACCTTGGGTTGACGTCTCCCTGACCGGTGTGCCACCTGGGTGGCAGAGCACAGCAGGGCAGAACCCGGCCACCAAGAGCCCCAGAGCCAGGAAGGGTGACATTCTCTCCACTCTGAAAAGCAAAGATCCTTAAGTGTGGAAGGGCCAGCTGGTGCCCTGACTGACTGCCTCCTGCTACATCCCACCTGCCCATGTTCTGTCCCTGTGCCCTTGCTGGCTGTGTGACCACCATGGGAGATGCACTCCTGGGCACTCAACATGCATCCTCACATCCTGTGCATCCTTCCACACTTTGAGGAAAATGCTATAATTGCTGCCATAGCACAGAGAGGTGAAGGGACTTGTCCAAGGTCAAGTAGCAAGCAAGTGGAGGCGCTGGAGACGGGCACAAACCCTGTCCAATCAGAATGCCTTCTCCTCCCCCTCCTGGTTGGTAGACAGAGCCCAGGCAGAAGGATTAGAAGGCAGAATACCCTCTTCCTTTCCATGCCACTTCTGCTCTCTGGTGGATCCCTGGGAATGAGCCCAACCCCTTCAAAGAATCCAGCTCCTTTCCCTGTGTCCAGATGACAAGTCGATGGCCCTGGCCAGGCTGGTGCCTGGATGTAGTGAGGTTAATGGAATGTGGCAGAGAAACCTGCTGGGGAAGTTCCTGGAGCCCTGACAGCCCTGAAAACAGTTGGTGCAAAGAACAATGGAAGATAGAATGTTCTTTTCAGTGCTTGCCAGAATACCACATGGTCATTTCCCGCCTTAAGCCTGGAAAGGCCTCCTGGTGTGGAGAAAGCGGGGTGGGGGGGGAGTGCAGAGCCTCTGAGACCTGGCCTGGAATGTCTTTTTGGTCTTGTGAATTCTGTGGCAGCAAACAAGAGACTGAACCTCTCTGAGCTTCAGACGCCACTCTGCAGCATGTCCATCAGCTCAGGGGAAATTCATAGGTGTTCCAGAGGGTCACCTCCTTTCACGCTCCCCTGCAGCTATTGCACAAGTGACCAGAGAGGGGCTGAAAGCCTGTAACTTCACAACAGGGTTCTTTACCTTCAGCCTCTGCCAAGCTCTGTCCTGTCACTCAGAGGAGTGATGAGAAAGGAAGTGGAGAAGAAAGGAGAGAGGGAAAAGAAAAGGGGAGGGAGAAGGAGAGAAAGGGAGAAGAGAGGAGAAAAGATCAGGAGAGAAGAAGAGGAAGGGAGGGAGAAGCAAAGAGAAGGAGGGAAAGGGGAGAGTAGGAGACAGAGAGGATGGAAGGGGAGGAGGAAGGGGAGGAGGAAGGGAAGGAGCGAGAAGGGAAAGGAGGCGAGAGGGAGGAGGGGCAAGTGGTAAGAATAGACAAGATAGAAGGAGAGAAACAGGAGAAAAAAGGAGGGAGAAGGAAGGAGAGAAGGAGAAAGAAAGGAAGGGAGGAGAAGAGAGGGAGGAAGAGAAAAGAAGAGAGAGGGAAGGAGAAGGAAGGACAGGGACAGGAGGAGACTGGGAGGAGGGCAGGGAGGGAGTGGGGCATGGGGAAACGGGGAGGAGGAACAGCTGAGTTGCTTGTCACCAGGACAGTGGAAACGCCTTCAGACAAGCCCAGAGACAGTGGCTTCATTACCTCATCATTTGTTTACTCACAGACTGATGCAACCATTTCTTTGGAAAAGTGTTAAACAATATCGTCTCTCCAAATTGGTAATTTCAAGACTTCCACACTAGAGGTCTGGCTCTGTTTTTCACCTATCTGTCTTTCCATTGCTGGACAGTCTGCTTGGCTAGGAGGCCTGGCTGGGAAGTAGAGGCCACTCCTATGGAGCTCTGGAGAAGTCACTGTGTGGCCTCTGCCCCTGGGGACCCACTGCAGCAATCATAATTGCTCCTCCCTCTGACAGATGCCCCTGTGCCAGGTGAGGGCATAGCTCCTCCTTCTACTGCAGGTCCACACACAGGAGCCTCTATTCAGAACCCACACCTTTGCAGGTGTGAGGACACACTCCCTCCTAGAGGCACGTGAATCAGCTATGTTCCAGAGCTGTCCCCTGCCTCCCAACCCAGGGACCCCACTTCCCACACTCCATAGACTACAACCAGCACCCTCCTGGAAAAATGAGTCCTTTGCTCCCAGCCAGAAGCTTCTGGATTACCTGTGCCTGCTCAGAGAGCTGATGTCCAGTATGGGTTCCGAAGCTCCTGCCTGGAGTGCTGGGTTTTCTTCCAAGCATGCCGCCTATTTATGCCTGCCAGCAGCTCCTCCCCCTTCTTAGGAAACGCAGGCTGGGACAGCCAGTGCTCTGTGCTCAGACTGGAAATGGCCCAATGATAACTTCTGGTAACCTGGGTTTAGTAGATTGACTGGAATGGCCAAGTGACGGGAAAAGCCCCCAACTTTCTGTTCTTTAAATACAACAACAACAAACAACTCTGTTTATGAAATGCTCATTGAGGAACAGGGGAAAATCCCATGCACATGAAGAAAGATGTTGACAATATCCCTCAGAGGCTGTAGTTAACATGTTGCTGTATTTCTTAGTCACTTAAAAAATATTTGTGCTCATGTGCTTATGTGTGTGTGTGTATGTGTGTGGGAACACACATACAAGAGATGAATCTCCATGCAAACTGAGATACATTAGAAATGACAGGACACTATTTTTCCAGAGGTGAGTTTGCATTTTGAGCATCTCTCCCCAGGGGTGGCTGGTCTCAAGGCCCCACCCCTCTCCAGAGGTGCATCCAGAGAGGGCTGGGAGAGAACTTGTCTGGAGTACACCTGTTGGGGGTCCCTGGTCCCCAGGTACCCTTTGTCTTTGGGGCCTCCTTTGACTTGAACTTCATCCTGGCCAAGTCAAGATGTCGGTTGTACCTCAGCTGCTGGTTTATCTCCATAGATGGTTGTTCTGCATCCCTGGCTTTAGACCCTCTTACCTTATCTCAGGCTCAATAGTCAAAGCCCTCATCCATGACAGCCCTTGAGAAATCAAGGTGGAACTCCACAGGTTCCCCAGAGCAGGATTTGGAAACTACTGGACTAGTGGTGAGATCAGAGCTTTGGTATTGGGTGGGCCTGGCTTGAGTCTTGAAGGTGCTACTTACCACTGGCAAATCATTAGAAATCTCTGGCCCCTTATGTCTAAGAGGCAGGTGACATTTCCCTGCCAGGTAGTTGTTAAAATGAAGTCAGATACAGTCAGGCATTGCTTAACAATGGGGTAATGTTCTGAAAACGGTGTTAGGTGGTTCTGTCATTGTGCAAACATTAGGAAGTGTACTGTCACAAATATAGATGGTGTAGGTCAGTCACTTGACATGGCCTCTAAAGGCAATCAACAGATGCAGTAGGGCTGGCAGAGTGGCTCAAGTGGTAGAGCACCTGCCTAGCAAGTGTGAGATCCTGAGTCCAAACCCTAGTACTGCCAAAAAAAGAGAAAGAAAGAGACTCAGTAAACAAGAAATGCATGAGGCTGCTGCCAATGTAACACAGTAGACTGTTCTACAGTAAGCTTGTTTGGTTTTATGTATAAATAGAAGAAGTACACCCTAAAATCATATTAAAAAGTATGACATAGTAAATGTGTAAACCTCTAGCACAGTCATTTATTATCACTGTCAAGTTTACACTGTGCAGAATCCCATGGGCTAGATTTGGACGTGACCAGCACGTCGGAGGTATGTTCACACCAGCGTCACCACAAACACACGAGTAATGAGTTGTGTTATGACATCATGACAGCTACAGTGCCACTCAGCGATATGACTCTTTCAGTTCCCTTATACTCTGATGGGACCACCATGTACAGGTGGCCCATTGTTGACCTAAATGTTATGTGGCACACGGTGGTAATAATGAATGTAAGCTTTATGAAGACAGAGTAGGGTCTGGGAATGTAGCATGGTGGTACATGCTTGCCTAGCATGTATAAGGTCTTGGGTTCAATCCCCAGCACCATAAAAATAAACAAATGGGCTATGAGGACAGGACAGGGATTTTGTTTACTTAGCATAGTGTATACACACTGTAAAGCACTGTTTGCTTCCATCCTTCCTTCCTTGAATGATGCTTTATGTGACAAACATTTTTACAGGTGAATACATATTTTATTTATTCATTTGAACTGGGGATAGAACCCAGGGCTTCAACCACACTAAAGCCTACTCTCTATCCTGAGCTACACCCTTGCCCTAAGAACAGATTTTTAAGATACACAGAATCCCAAAGAAATAATGGTTAAAACAAGGCCAAAGATTAGTGTGTCTCACCAGATGAAGGCAGTATAGACAAAGTGACTGGCCTCACTTTGTCGGGAAGCCGGGCCTCTTCTGTCTCATTGCTCTGCCATAACTAGGTGCTGTTTGTCGGCCCGAGATGGCACATTTCATATCTGCCTTCCAGCAAATAAGAAGGACATGGGGCAGGGTTTCCTTTCCTTTGAGAGGCATGACCTAAATGTTGCTTAGGTCATTTGTACTTGTGTTCCATTGGCCAGAGCATGGTTTACATAGCCCATGCCCAGCGGCAAAGGAGTCTTTGAGATACGTCAATATTCCACATGGGGTAGCCATGTCCCAGCTAAATCTATGGGATTTCTATGACCACCAAAGGGAAAAGGAGCATGGACACTGGCTGAACATGTGACTGAGGGTCACGTTCTCTGGCCATCATTTTCTTTAAAATTGAATTGGCTTAGTGAACATCCACCCAACATGAAGGCAAGTTAACTCCACCTACCCTCCACAAACTCTGCTGAGGATGCTTGAGGTGGGAGGTTGGTAGGTCTGGATGTCACCTATCACCTGGAGCTCCAGACAGATGCTCCAGAGCCATGAGCCCCTCATCCCTGGCCATCTTCCAGCCTCTTCTCTGGGTTTTGACAGTCTTCACTCATCTGCTTTGCCCCAGGCATTGACTCAAGTCCTGTCGATTCTGTGGGCACCATTCATACAAGGATGTCATCTGTCACAGTGCTCTCCAGGGAGAATATAAAGGAATTGCAACACCAAAAAGTGAAGCCAAGATCATTCCAGATAGCACCTTCCAGAAGGTCCTGGCTCCTCCTCTTTGGAGGGTCTCCTTCGGTCTCCCTGGACTGAAGGAGGGCTGGGCGCTGTTTGCTTCCAGTTCAGAAATCCCTTGAGCACAATCCCTTGAGTATATCCTCTAACCAGTGTCCAGGAGACCCCACTATGTTTCTAGACCTCATAAAAAGAAGGAAAAAGAAAATGAGGAGCACACTGGTGTCCGCAGAAATGCATGTGTACTAGGAAGAGTGCTTTTGACATCTGTGCTATACTCGAGGTGTGGCCCCTGCAGCAGCAGCAGCAGCAGCAATACTCTGGGTGTGTTAGAAATGCAAATTCTTGGCAGTCACCACAGGCCTAATAATTCTCAGTCTGCACCATAGTAATCTCCTGGCGTAATCTGTGTGCACCCTAAGGGGTGAGAAGCCCTGCTTTGTGGGCTCTGGTGGAGAGAACCTCTCTCTGCTTGCAGTTTCTTCATTGGATCTCCTCTCTGCTTTGGGCTCCTGAGTGGACGTTTGTCTTGCCCCTGCATAGTGACTCCAAACTTGGTTCCCCCAGAAGCCATCCAGGACCTTGGCCAAGGGCAGAGTGCAGCTGCCCCTGCAGAATAAGGGAGAAGGGTGGCTCCTCCTCGTATGTATCTTTGTTCCTGTGACACATGGACTTTATAGGCTGTTGGGTGCATTCCTAAACATCATTCACTCATTTATTTCTTCTGTGATTCTACAAATATTTACTGAGCAATTCCATGTGCCAGGTATCATCCTAGGCACTGAGCATCCAGCAGTGAAGAAAACTAATTACGGTCCCACTCTTAAGGTGATGCTGTAGTTGTAGCTTTGAAATAATGCCCTTGCTGGGGGAGGAGGGGCTATAATCTAGGGTTCTGTGAAAGGTCAGACAACAAAAATTTTAAACCTAAGGGCCACATATGCTCTGTCTCCTCTCCCTTTCTTTCCCCCTCCTCTCCCCTCCTTTTCCCTCCTTTCTCTTCCTCTGTCACAAATTTTTGTGAACATATAAAGCCATACTTAGCCTGTGAGATATATGCTGTGGTTTGTTGATGGTCTAATTGTATCCCCTAAATGTTCATGGGAGCTTGGTTCCCAGTGTGGAAGTGTTGAGGTGGTGGAGCCTTTAAGAGGTGGGGCCTAAGAAGGCCGTTAGGTCATTAATCCCAGAAGGGATTAATAGAGTTCTTATAGGACCCAGGTTAGTTCCCATGGGATGCTGTAAAAAGAGTCCAGCTGTTCCCTGAGCCTCTCTGGCTTCCTGTGTCACCATGTGAGTTCTTCAGCTCTTGCTTACCAGGGGTTGAACAGATGGGGCTGCCCGATTGTGAATTTTCAGCTTTCAAAACTGTGAGCTAAATAAACCTCTTTTATTTACAAGGAATCCCACCCCAAGCATTTTGTTATAGCATCGGGAAACAGACTAACACAGTACACAAAAACGGTTTCTGAGCTAAAATTGGCCCATGGGTCTAGTTTGTCAACCCTGGGACAGTCTCTTCAGACTTTTTACTGTGTGAAGTGATGAGACACACAGGAGGTCCAGAAAAGAGAGCAGACCCTTCCACTCTTCTAGTTCAGCTCACATCCCAGCTTCTGGCCTAACTGCTGCCCACGGAGATGTGGAGCTCAGTGACCTTAACTGCTCCATCCCACCCCTCAGCTTCACTTGCCCTACATGTAATCACAGAGCCCTTTCCCAACTGAAATCTCTCTGTGAAGCAGAACACCATGAACCTGTACCACCCCCGGGAGAGGAGACAAACGCCTTGCTAATTTCTCCCTAGTTTCCGAGACCTTGCAGGATGTGTTGCTCCCTTTTTGGGGGTCAGGGGCAGGCCGGGTGAAGGCTGCATACTCCACAGGCAGAACATCTACTAGGTAACCAATATTTAGAGGTTGCTGGGATGGATTGCGTTTTTGTATAGTTCCTGTTTCTGATTATGCTTTAAAAAAATCAAAATGAAAAATCTCCACCCCTCTTTTCAACCTGTCATTACCAAGCTTCCTTCTGAGTCACCCTCCAGGAGGGGAGAGCTAGGTGGGAAGTCATGTGATCTCTGCCCCTACCCCACCCCCAGCTGTTAAATAGCATAGTTGGTGGAGCAATTCAAGGCCAAATCTAAGACTCACCCTGTCCCCACGCTCTTTCAATTAAAAAAAGACATTTCCATCCTACAGCATAGG